GGGTTCATCTCTTCATCTGACTAGCTGTGTTTATGTAGATGTGTGAAAGAAACACACACATACAAATGCACACCCACACTGACACACACACACACACACCACACACACACACACACTCTGCAGGAATGGACCTCGTAGCCCCTTTGCATCATCACCCCTATTAGGATTATCAGAGTATTGGATTGTGGGTAAAGGAAGATCTATTTCTTTTCCAAAGGGTGAGAAAAATGGGAGGGTGTCAGGGAGAGGGAAAAGAGAAGAAAATAAAATGTGTGTGTGTTTTGGGTGGGGGGAGGGAGAAAAGGAGAGAGGGAATATGAGTGAGTGTGGAGGGAGGAGGGGAAATGAAAGGATATTATATATTTTTTTGTATCTGTCATTTCCCTGCTATCTCCCATATGACTTCTTAATCCATCAGAATGCTGGGAAGATAATGTTTTGGGCGAAATAACATGAGAGAGAGGATAGACTCCCAAGGACCAATATCTTTATTGCTCGGAGGATAAACGGATTATGTCAGCCATTTTCTGTTGCTGACAGCTTTTCTTATTAACCGATTTTATTTTTTAATCTTCCAGGGAAGAAATATGGTTTTATGTCACAATAAAACGCCGGTCACATCTAATTCTGCCCTCAAACAAACAGATTTCTGAAAGCCTTGCAGAGAAATTTGAAATAACTTTAAAGAGGGGGTTTTTGGATAAAGTCTTTATCCAGGGGCTTGTTCAACTGCAGTGTAAAAGGTTTAGAGAGAGAGGAGAGGAGAGGAGAGAGAGAGAAATAGAGGGAGGGAGGGAGAAGGGAAGAGAGAGAAGAAAAGAAGGAGAAAGGAAGACCCACACAGCTGTTTTGCTTGGTGATCTCTCTTCAAACACACTGGGGCATAGTCAGGATAATACAGTTTGGATGAAAGAGGGCTGGGTAGATGAAAAAAGGACTGGTGGGCTGCTTCTGGGGCTTTGGGTGTGAGGAGCTGCTTGCCCACACCTCTCTGAAACAGACACTTCTTTCCAGTTTTTCTGGAACCATTAGGAGTTGATGGTGTATCTTTCAAGGATCATAAACAAATCAATGTGAGTTCTGTGAGGCATTTGGAGCTCAGAGGCAATTCTCGTCTTTTTTCCATGATTCCTTTGCCAGGACATTTCAACCTGCTTGAGGATTTAGGTCTTCAGTTAGCCCCAAGAAAATCTTCTGTCAAACACCCTAGACAACTCTGGCCTTTGCTCACTTCTATAGGCCTGCAATGAGCATATAGCCATCACTAATATAAAAAACCACTCATTTCTTCTCTTCTGTGTGGCACAAAGCAATTTAGCTAGACAGGGCTCTTGCCCACCAGGGGCTTAGCCCAGAAAATGTCCTTAATTTGTGCCTCTTGCTTGGTCAGTGCCCAGCTCACTGCACACCCAGTACCTTGACTGATAATGATGGCTGAGTCTTACATTGTGCCCTGCTGGGAGGTATTTGGTGATTTAGAGTACTTTAAAAATCTGTTAAAAATAAATTTCTTGGATTTTCTAAGGTGTTGTTTTTTATAAGAGAAATGGGCTTTTCAAAAAAGCATTCTGAAACCTGGGACAATTTGGGAGCCTAAAGCTGTCCTAAGGTGAGTGAGACAAACTCAATACCTCCAGCCAACTGTGAGAAGGGGGGAGATTCAAATTAATAGGTTGACCCAAACCTCTTCTTACCTAGGAAGAAAAAGACGGGTTTTCTTGCCTCATTTCTTTGCCTGGAGAGATAGAGAACTGGTAGAAATGGAGAGAAAAAGGTCATTTGAGGTTTTTCCACCAGAGGGTCATGAGGATAGCCACTCAAAGTGAGCAGCCCAGAGGCTGCTTTGATCTGAAGCAAGCCTGAACTTCCAGGAAGTGCTTATGACTCTAAGCTGTGATTAATTTTTTAAAAAATACACGTCTTAAGTGAGCAGTTTTATTAGCTTTTGGACATATGTATTTATGTGTGTGATCAGCACTCCAACCAACACTGAGGACTTTCCCATCACTCCTGATTTTAGTGAATGATGCCTTTGACTGTTTGTGCTGCACTATCTGTGTGGACGTTTGTGGTGGTCCAGCACGCAGCTGTGATGAAGATCTACTGGTATAGAAGATGATTAACAGATAATTTGGCATGATAATAATAATTATGTTTTGCTTTACCAAGCACCTTCACATACACTATCTTAGCATATCCTTTCAAATGATAATGATAATAATAATGTAATAACATCATCATCATTCAACAGCAGTTACAAACACTGACATACGTTTATTTTGTGTCAGGCACATGTATCACTACATTTAATCCTTTCAACAATGTTTCATCTATTTTATAGATGTTGAAACTTAAGCAAATAGAGGTTAAGTCACTGGTCTAAGATCATAGAACCAGTATAAGTTAAAGCCTGGGAATCTGCCTCCAAAATTTGTGCTTTTAACTAAATATATGAGATCTGGAAAAGGTAGATGACATATAAACAAATATCACACAGCTAATTCAGTGGTGGATCTGGATCCTATAATAGGTTTTTTAAGCTTACATCAACCTACCCTTCAACCTCACTCTCATTGTCCACCACCACCCAACATACCTACCATCCACGCCTCAACCCTACAGAGCTAATTACTGCTCTCTGAACTTGCTGTCATCTTTTAGGCCTTTGTGCCTTTAAATGTGTTCTTTCCTCTTCTTCTACTGAGAAACTCTCACTCATCCTTCAAGGCTTAGTTCCATTGCCACCTTCTCAGTAAACTCCCCCGCCTCTGAACTTTCAGGCACGTGGTCTGTTCCCTCCATTATAATTCTCTAGTACTCCATTATTCCCATTGGTCATATCTTTGTCTTTCCTGGTAGGCTATGAGCCCCGCAAGGATAGGAAATGTGTTTTGCTTTTTCTATGTGTGGTATCTAGCACTGTGCTTAACAAAGTGCCTAGTTGAACGGTTTTCACTAAACTATATTAACTAAGACTTATCTCTTTAATATTTGATATGGTTTGGCTCTGTGTCCCCACCCAAAATCTCAACTCGAATTGTAATACCCATGTATTGAGAGAGAGAGGTAATTGGATCATGAGGGTGGTTTCCCTCATGCTGTTCTCATGATAGTGAGTTCTCATGAGATCTGATAGTTTTGTAAGTGTTTGACAGTTCCTCTTTCACACAGCTCTCACATGCCACCTTGTGAAGAAGGTGCCTGCATCCCTGGCAGCCATGATTGTAAGTTTTCTGAGGCCTCCCCAGCCATGTGGAACTGTGAGTCAATTAAGCCTTTTATCTTTATAAATTACCCAGTCTTGGGTATTTCTTTATAGCAATTTCTATGACTAACACAACATTAAATGGGGAAGAAGTGCTTGTGGTTATTTCAACTAAGTCTTTGGTTTATGCCTTATCATTTGGAACTCACGGCTATGAGACACCTACACCAGGTGGTGGCAGTACGCCTAGTTAAGGAGTTTCTGGGAGATAAATGGTATTTTTTGAAAAATTTTTAGGGTTGCTAAAATTCAACACCATGAATTACAAAAAAGTCATAACGTGAGATGATACTTATTTTTGATTCTGTAACAAAAAGAATATGGTCACACCTGCTGGATATCATTAAAGACCCATCCTCCTGCCAATGAACCTTTACCCAGATTTTGCAATGTGTGGTCAGATCCTTCTTCCTGCAATGCTCCCCACCATTATATTGCTCTTTATTTTCATGTGGGCATCTTAGGGACACTTTTATAATGCCTTTTAACTTAGTAATTCATAACTAATGTCCTGTAACACTGTCCTAAAGGACATTCATACATATTCAGATAATTCAGAGAGAGAGAGAGAGACACACACATCTAATTGAAAACAAGCATAGAAAATGCTGAGTTAAGCTTTGTTAAATTGGTTTCTTGAGAGCAGTACTTTAAAAAGCCTCTATTATGTGGTGTTTCCCAGTTTTATTAAAATAGAGAATCATTTTGGGGAGGCTCCAGTTAGTATCTTCTATAATATTGTGCCTGTACCATAGTTAGGTAGTCTTCAACTCTCAAGCATAAATATCTTAAGACATTTTAAAATTCAAAGTATATTTTTAATTGTTGCTTTCATATAACCATGTATATGAGACAATATTTACCACAATCTGCATTGAGTTATGTAATCACCGGGGACTGGAAGGTTTTGGATTCTATTATTATGCCACTATAAACTATGGAATGCTTTTAAGCTTCTATTAACCAGCAACTGAGGGAGGCTTGGTCCCCATGCAGACCTGCGAAAGAAATTTGCTATGGAGTCTGCTGTGAGAATGACCGACTGTGGACACAGACTATGATCCCATGGTGTGGGACATGCAGAACCCAAAGTCCTGGGCCATGTCCACAGCAGGTAGAGAAGTTTGTTGTGAGTCTTTGATGCATTTATATGGAACAAATGGATCAATTATATTAATCATGAAGCATGGAGACGTATCTGAGCTTTTCACAAAAACTGAGGTGCCAATGGCTGTCACTAGGTCTCTTGCATGTGCGGTTCTAATTTAACAAGACATAAAATGAATCATTCATTGAGAGCTTTAGTTTCCTTACTGTTAAGAATGTGGAATATCAGCATAACAAAACTGTTTCACAGGGTTGTTGACATAATTGACTGAGATAATGTCTTGAATAAACATAAGGTTGGGCCTGTAATAAGTATACCATAAATAGTGACACCTGTTAACCGCAATAATAATAGTAATCTTTATAGCAAAGTCTGTGCACTGCATTATTTGGGTCATGCTGCCTTTTGCCACCTTGCAGTTCCTGGCACATAGGAAGCATTAAATAATATTTTTAAATGAATGAATACTAGCTTTTGTGGCCTATGATTTCATTGACCAGTTTGTCTCAATGTACTTATAACAACAGATTTTCTTTTCTGTTTCTTGTGGATTTTGCAGGATCTTAATGCATTACTGTATTAGCTTCCTGGGCCTGCCACAACAAAGTACCACAAACTGGGTTGCTTAAAATAACAGACATTTATTATCTCATAGTCGTGGAAGTTAAAAGTCCAAAATGAAAGTATCAGCAGTGCTTTGCTCCCTCTGAAACGGAGACTATGTAGGGAAGAATCCTTTCTTGCTTCTTCCTGTCTTCTGGTGGCTTCCTTTGATCCTTGCCATTCTCTGGCTTGCAGCTGCATCACTCCATCTGTTTCTGTTGTCACATGATATTCTTCCTGTGTGTCTCTGTCTTTCCAAGGCATTTTTCCCATTCTATTTTTCCCAGCACCAGTTATAATAGATCAGGGCCCACCCTAATGACGTCATAGTAACTCGATCACATCTTCAAAGACTCTATTTCCATATAAGGTGACACTCATAGGTACTGAGGATTAAGACTTCAGCCTATCTTTTTGAGGGCACAGTGGTTTTTACCTTAGGGTCATTAACACTTCTTTACTTAATAAAAGTTTTTTTTTTTTTTTTTTTACTTAGTAAAAAGTAAGTAAATATTAATGCCCCCGAGGTTAAAACCAGTGCTAGTTAGGGTTTCCGTCACTAGCAGCAAATGTATCCCAGGTGATATAACCTGGGAAAAACCAAAGTCACAAGGGCTTCTTGGTACTAGGAGCCAAGGTACACACTCTTGGTACTGAGTCCAAAGAACCACAGGAATTATGATTACCTGGCTTGAGACATAGGCCCTCCCATTAGTCAGGTTGGAGCCAACGTGCTGTGATTGGTACCATCAGAACCATATGTGAGGAAAAGGAAGGACAATTTTCCAAAAAGATGAGTAAGAGAGTGTAATTACCTGAAGAGAAAGAAAAGCAAGTTCAGCAGACCAAAGCAGTACATACCAGCTATACAAACTAAATGTCTAACTCTGGAGAAATGGTGCCAACTCTTAATGGAATATTACCTGGACATTGAAAGTGTGTTTATGCACATTTCTGTAATAACAAGTATAAATGTTTATAATGATGTTAATATTATAATATCATTATAAAAGTATATACAAAGTTGTTTTCAAGTTTTCTTTAACAAATATAATACCTCAAAAAAATTTGAAACGTTAAATTTATGTAGATGAGGCAACCTTGTGCTAGCTATTATAAGAAGCAATAATGGTATTTATGTTGGTATAACAATGAATGACTTATTTAGAATAAAAAATTGATATAAAAATTTATGTCAAGCTAAACTTTCAAGACACTTGGCATGTGAAAAGAACCTTAAGGAGATGAAAAAACGTCAAGAGCAAGAGTTTTGACTGGCACAAAAGGTTTAACCATGACAGGAGACTTTCTGAAAGATGGTGGATTAAAAATAGGTCCAAATTCTTTCTCCTGGCTACTTTAACAGAAAAACAATAGCATTGTCTGATAAAAAGAAAATCAATAACCCACAGTGTAGGCTTAGAAAAGAATGAGCAAATCTAAGTAAATGCAGTGACCCCAATTCAACAAAGCAATTGTGCACCACTGGCTGAAAAGCTAAGACAGAGGCAGGACCAACTCTTGAAGGAGGCTTGAATGAGTTGATAAATTAAAAAAAAATAAAAAATGATTGCTAGAAACAAGACAAGTTATGAAACCAAAGGACTGCACACAATGTGGAAATGCTATAGAGTACGAAAGGGTCACAAGAGGCTGGTAAGAACAAAAATCAGGTACAAAAATGCAGATACTCAAAATGTTTAAATATCCTATGAAGAGAAATAGAAAATCATGTAAATAGAGGAAATTTATAAATAAAAGTAAACAGGAAATTTTCTCTGACCCCTTTGAAGGCCTTGCTACAGGAGTACCTCACTTAGCCTGCAGCTCTTAACCTGTTGTGGGAGGGGGAGCACACAGATGAGTGGGTGCAGGGGCTAGAACTGCTGGGTGTCATCAGGAGCAGAACTCAGTGTGACCCCAGGACAGTGTCTAGGGGGATACTCGCAACCCCTGGAGCCCCAGAGGCCATGTATTACAGTGCTATTTTAGCTTTGCCATCCACGGACGGCTTAAGTGTTAAAACAGCTCAGGCATCCACACTTGTGGCTCCAGAGCTCTTGTTCGGTGTTCAGGAAGAATCAGGTCACACAAATGAATTGAAGGGTGGAGAACACAGAGGATTTTATTGCCGATGATGAAAGTGGCTTTCCACACAGGAAGGGGAGCTGGAAAGGGGATGGAGCAGGAAGGAGCAGGAAGTTGGTATTTCCCTGGATTCTGGCTGTCCCCAGCCAGGATCTTCTCTAAGTCCTGCCGTCAAGCTGTCCCTTTGAAGTCAAACTGCTTCTCTCTGATGTCTGGCTGCTTCTTCTCTTCTCTGCTTCTCTTCCACTCCTCTGCCAGTGGAGCCTGGGGTTTTTATGGGTACAGGATGGGGTCTGGGCAGGCCAGGGTAATTTTGGAAAAAGCAGCATTCAAGTGGGAAAACAGGGATGTAAAATTCTCACTTTGGGATGTGGTTCCAGGCTTGAGGGTAAGGCCCTTCCAGGGACTGCCCTTTTCTACCCAGTATTTCCCTGCCTCCTGTCTGTATCAAAAACACTGGAAAAAATGGGAAAGATCAGTCATATGGGTACTAGAATTAGTGATTCAAGGGAAAACAAGTTCATTTCATGAATTAAATTTCATTATACAAATTGTAAAGGTCCAGAGAGTTTCATTTAAGAATGATCCTCAAAAAAAAATTGTCTTTTTCCATTCTGTTGAAACATTTTGAAATGTTATAGCCAAAGACAAATTACCAAAAAAGAAAAGAAATAATAAGGTAACTTACATGTTTATTCTGAGAACTATCATTTAAAGGTATAAGAATAAACATGACTTTATTTCAGTCCTCAGAGTTTGAAGAAGAAAAGGAGTTCAAAATGGTATATGTATGTTTGTGTGTGCTCATGCATGTGCCTGTACTTGGTCTGAAGAATCTATATCAAGCTAAATGTAGGATTATTGAAATGTAGTTATATTTCTATTTGTTTAATCATTTAATGTCTCTTTTGGATAGTTGAAGAATTCTTCACATGTAAGTCTCTTGCAAAATGGAGTTTCGTACTTTTCCTGCATTTAGAAAGTATAGTTATTCATGTGGCCAAGCTAGGAGGATAGGGATATTGGGGCAGTAGATCAGGAAGGAATGGGAGGCTTTCTGCTTTTATTAGCTTCCTAAAAAATTGCCATAAACTAAGGAGTTTAAAACAGCAGAAATTGATTCTGTCACAGTTCTGGAGGCCAGAGGTCTAAAATCAAGGTGTCAGCAGAGCATGCCCTTTCTGAAGGCTCCAGAGAAGAAGACTTTCTTTCCTCTTCTAGCCTCTGGTGGTAGCCAGCAATCTTAGTGTTCCCTATTTTTTTTTTTTTTTTGGCAGCATAATTCCAATCTCTGCCTCCATATTCACATGGTCATCTATCTTCTGTTTGTGTCCAAATTCCCCTCTCCTTATAAAGACAATAATCACTGACTAGATTAGGGTCTACCCTAATTCAGTATGATCTCTTCTTAATTTGATTACATCTGCAAAGACTCTTTCCAAATAAAGTCACATTCACTGGTTTTGGGTGGACAGTAATTTTGGGGAAACATTATTCAATCCAGTACACTGCTGTTGAGCCATTTTGGAAGAATCTGAATGAATTCTACTAATACGGGATAGCATCAAGCGTACCACTCCATGCCGTGTGCTGGAGGAAGCCATGAGCAACAGGAAAAGTTAGGAATGAGGAAACTCATATAGGAAAAGCCAGAATGGTCAAATGCATCCTGTCCTAACCCACCTCTCATACAAGAAGAGTTTTGGTGGGAAAAATGGAAATTTGCAATTACTCTGTTTTCTATTTCTCTCTGCTCCCTCAAGAACCCAATACAGGCACTGTCCTCTCAATCTTCTGAATTCTTAACTACGTCCTCTCTCAAGACTCCTTTGCATCAAGATGGAGGTATAATGTAAGAAAGCTATCCGTATGTGTATATTCAAAAAGACAATACAATGCTGTACTTAAGGCAAAGCCTCATTTACAGAGACCTGGACTGAAGTCATGGTTTTGGCCTCTGCTTATCGTATGATCTTCATTAGGCCTTAGTGTCCCCACTTTAAAAATGGGAGTAATTGTAGCAACTCTTTCAGGAAGTTTTAAAAATAGTTTTAATTATAGTCATCTGAGGTCCCAGTACAAGATAGCTGACTAGAGACACCAGACACCTGCTCTCTCCAGAAAGAAGAACCAAAATTATGAATAATCATACTTCAAATAGAACATTTAGGAGAGAACACTAGAGTTCAGGAAGCACCTGAGGCACAGAAGAAGGAAGCAAGCAGCCAACTCAGCTGAGATCGGCTGCGAGCCCTGAGGAGCTCCTTATTGTGAGGAAACGGTAAGTGAGGGAACTTCGTGGTCCATATCCCCAGCACAGACTACTGCAATCCATACCATATGAGAGCTGCTTTACTCACACAAACCATGACACTAGCATGGGTGGTGATTTGAAGACTCTGAGGGCATTGTACCAGACAGGGAACTCCTGCTGAGTCACTCAACACTCCCTCCACCCAGACCTAAGTAGCTGCAGCTGGGCACCATTGTGAGATCATAGCCATCATGGGACTGCATCATGTCCTGGGAACCACAAACCGTAAGTCTCCATATCCTATGAAGCCCCACTGACATCCCCGTGTCCACCTGGAGGGCTATAGTGGGATAGCACCGATTAGATCCAAAAGTGCTATGGGGTCCCCAGTACTCTAGCCCACAGGGAGTACTACTTGCCAAGGAAAGGACAATGCAGCACACCAAAAAGGCAGCCCCTGGGAAAAAGCAATACAAAGTGTATGTTTTCCAGAGCCTGAGAGCTTGCTGTCTGAGGCTGTGAGAAGTGACCCCACCCCTAGAAGTGGCATAAACTCTATGATGAACCTCGCAAACAGAGTGTGATCCCCTCCCACTGGCAGAACAGCCTCTGTGCTGAGGCTCATGCACATAGAGTGTGACCCCTTCTCCTGGACACACAGCTGTGGGCACAGCCTCTGTTACTGCTGCTGGGGGCTGGAGCAGGTGAGTCAGAGGGTTGCCTGTCTGGGGCTGTGAGTTGCGTATGTTGAACCAGCCTTGCATCCCTGGGATGAAGCCTACTTGATTATGGTGGATAAGCTTTTTGATGTGCTATTGCAATCGATTTGCCAGTATTTTATTGAAGATTTTTGCATCTATGTTTATCATGGATATTGGCCTGAAGTTTTCTTTTTTGGTTGAATCTCTGCCAGGTTTTGGTATCAGGATGATGTTGGTCTCATAAAATGATTTGGGAAGGATTCCCTCTTTTTGGATTGTTTGGAATAGTTTCAGAAGGAATGGTACCAGCTCCTCTTTGTATGTCTGGTAGAATTTGGCTGTGAACACGGACCTGGGCTTTTTTTGTTTGGTAGGCTATTAATTGCTGCCTCAACTTCAGCCCTTCTTATTGGTTTATTCAGCGTTTCGACTTCTTCCTGGTTTAGGCTTGGGAGGGTGTAAGTGTCCAGGAATTTATCCATTTCTTCCAGGTTTACTAGTTTATGTGCATAGAGTTGTTTGTGGTAATTTCTGATGGTAGTTTGTATTTCTGTAGAATCAGTGGTGATATCCCCTTTATTGTTTTTTATTGCATCTATTTGATTCTCCTTTCTTTTCTTTTTTATTGATCTGGTTAGTGGTCTATTTTGTTGATCTTTTCAAAAAAACAGCTCCTGGATTTATTGATTTTTAAAATATATTTTATTGCATTTTAGGTTTTGGGGTACATGTGAAGAACATGCAGGATTGTTGCATAGGTACATACATGGCAATGTGGTTTGCTGCCTTCCTCTCCATCATCACCTACATTTGGCATTTCTCCCCATGTTATCCATCCCCTACTTCCCACCCCCCACTGTCTCTACCCTAATTCCCCCCACAGACCTCAGTGTGTGATGCTCCCCTCCCTCTGTCCATGTGTTCTCATTGTTCAACACCCACCTATGAATGAGAACATTCGGTGTTTGATTATCTGTTCTTGTGTCAGTTTGCTGAGAATGATGGTTTCCAGGTTCATCCATGTCCCTACAAAGGACACAAACCCATCGTTTTTTATGGCTGCATAGTATTCCATGGTGTATATGTGCCACAGTTTCCCTGTCCAGTTTATCATCGATGGGCATTTGGGTTTGTTCCACGTCTTTGCTATTGTAAACAGTGCTTCAGTGAACATTCATGTGCATGTGTTTTTGTGTCTCTATCTCCTTCAGTTCTGCTCTGATCTTAGTTATTTCTTGTCTTCTGCTAGCTTTTGAGTGTTTTTTTTTTCTTTCTTTCTTTT